ACTGTTCAAGCCGGCAAACTACCAACCCTTGTGTTTTTACTCTTCCTGTGTACCCCACATTTTTATAGTCTAACAGCTGGACAAAACATTGTCCAGAGCCCCCCCATGCAACAACCACCAAGCCAGCAGGTGCACCGTGCCCTTTAGGACATCTACGTGGGCAAGGGGCATATGTTATAGTGATACCCCTGGTGCCATTTATCAAAGAGCAAACAGAGTAGAGGGAATGGCCCCTGTCATGTTCCAGATTGGTTTGCACTTTTAACATCTCCATCTTTTCCTGACTCTAGGGAGCAGTCAGTTCGTGCGCAGGGCTACTCATCACTGTTGCTGTCATTTTTCCTTCAGTGCTGTTTTGAAAAAGGCCAAATGGTCACTGGATCTGGATATCCATTCCCTATGATGGGCTGTTCTTTCAGGGTTGATGGGTCATGTGTTTTTAGGTTCACTGAGGCACACTTAATAATGTGGCCAACAGTCTGGTTCAGTCCTTTTATGGCAAATGCATATAGTTATATTGTTTCCAATGGGAGAAGGGAGCCTAGTTTTATGTAGTGCCTATGTCATTCTCTATCTTTCCCTCTGGACTTGACTCACATAGAATGATCCCAAAAATCTTTGTGCTGAGTGTATGCTTTCATATTTTTCTGAAGCTACATGGAAGCTATATGGCTTATTAAAAGTGCAATACACACTTAGCATGCATGAGTGGGAGGGAAATTTAAATCAAAAAGACTGTCTTCTAAATGCTTTAAAATTACATTAGTTTTCTATACAACATGCTGATCATTTTGACAATTGTGTCATGTGTTTACAGTTGTTATACAAGGTATACACCATGCTCCAAATTATTATGCAAATTATATTTTTCTTTGATTTTCCTAAATAGTCAATGCAAATGACAGTCAGCATAATTTTTAAGTCATCATCCGTTAGAGTATAATTCAAATGTTATTGAACAAAGCTCCCAATGATGACAGTATTTTTTTCAAAAATAAAAAACTTTAAATGGCCTGTTTCCAAACCTTTTTGTAGTTTTTAAGGACTTGAAATTGTTCTTTGATTTTGCGGCTTTGGGGGTTCTTTTTTCTTGAATTCAAAGGTTTTTTAATTCGGAACCTTTTTACCGGTTCAGTTTCCTTTTTATATTGGATTCCTTTTTTTGTAGCAGCTTCACAATTCTTGCATCCATTAAGTTTTTGGAGAGTTTCTGCTTGAATTTCTTTGCTGGATGTCAGAATAGTCTCCCAGAGCTGCTGTTTGGATGTGAACTTCCTCCCACTCTCATAGATCTTTTGCTTCAGGATGCTCCAAAGGTTCTCAATGGGGTTGAAGTCAGGGGAGAATGGTGGTCACACCATGAGTTTCTCTCCTTTTATGCCCGTAGCAGCCAATGATGCAGAGGTATCCCTTGCAGCATGAGATGGTGCATGGTCATGCATGAAGATAATTTTGTAACGAAAAGCTCGGCTTTTCTTTTTGTACCATGGAAGAGAGTGGACATTCAGAAACTCCATACTTTTCAGAGGTCATTTTCACACCTTCAGGGACCCTAAAGGGGCCGACCAGCTCTCTCCTCATGATTCTGGCCCAAAACATGACTCTGCCACGTCCTTTCTGACGTCGTAGCCTTGTTGGGACATGGTGGCTGTATACCAACCATCCACTACTCCATCCATCTGGACCATCCAGAGTTGCACGGTACTCATCAGTGAACAAGACTGTTTAAAAATTAATCTTCATGTATTTCTGGACCCATTGCAGCCGTTTCTGCTTGTGAGCACTGGTTATGGGTGGCCGAATATAAGGTTTATGCATAACTGCAAACCTCTGAAGGATCCTACACCTTGATGTTTGTGGGACTCCAGCGGTACCAGCAGCTTCAAATACCTGTTTTCTGCTTTGTAATGTCATTTTAGCAGCTGCTCTCTTCATCCGATGTATTTGTCTGGCAGAAACCTTCCTCATTTTACCTTTATCTGCATAAACCCGTGTGTGCCCTGAATCTGCCACAAATCTCTTAACAGTAGGGTAATCACATTTCATTTTTCGTGCAATATCTAAGGTTTTCATACCTTGTCCAAGGCATTCAACTATTTGATGTTTTTTGGCAGCAGAGAGGTCCTTTTTCTTTTCCATATTGCTTGAAAATTGTTGTTTTGTTTATTATTTTGGACGTTCTTTTTTTTTTCTTTTTCCTTTAATTGGGCTCACCTGGCAAACTAGTTGTCAGAGGTGTCTGAGATTGATTTCAGTGATCCAAAGAGCCCTGAGACACAATACCATCCATGGGTTTAATTGAAATGCAAAAAATGTTATCTTTATGATGCTTACATGCAATTTGCATAAAAATTTGGAACGCAGTGTATAATTAGTAATAATAGTGCTTTAAAAAATACAAGCAATATTTTATGCATGTACATACTGTAATTCTGTTTCTTATTTAACCATACTGCTAAATTTATGTACAGTCACTTTGCACCTCTGAAACATTTTCGTGTGTACAGTATTTGTTGTCAGTTCGATATTTTACTTTATTATTATCTCGGCATATTTCATTAAAAAAATTTTTTAAATATAGTTTTATTTATCCTATTTTAACTGCCACATGGCTGCTACTACTACTATTATTACTACTACTACTACTACTACAGTACTACTGTTCTGTGTCTAACAACTCCACGTGCCTTGTATTGCCCCCAGGGGACAAATAAAGTTTTCTGAATTGAATTGAATACAACAAACTGTATTACACTGTGATTAGACAGTGGTTCCAAGAGAAAGATATTCATTGAATTTGAACTGTGGAGGTAGTCCCCCAGCTGCTTTGGTCCTAAAAACAGAGGACGCTAGTAGGGACAGGTATCCAAAGCCATAGCCAGACATGCAGCTTTACTCTGCTTGACCCACAGATTTAGGTAGGAGGCAGAGACAGAAGGAGGGTTTTTAACGTTACCATCTTCCAACGCTTATAGAGGGCCTCTCAGACAGCAGGTGAAGAGGTTGATGGGTAATTTGTCTGAAATAGGGAGAGGAGGGAAGTCAGTGGTTAGGGAATTTGGCAATTTCCAGTAATTCCCTTGGTTAAATGTGCTATGTATATGTGTCCACTCAAATCTTGCCCATAACCACACCATCTGCAGCTTTACATTTAAACTATATTTGAACTATTAGTTGATTGGGATTAACAGCCAAACCAAACCAAAATACTATATAATATGGGGGTTTAGAACAATGCACCCAAGTCACCTTAGTTTATGTAAGTCCAGATTTTGGATTACCTAAATAAGGAAAAAAAGTAGATTTTTAATGATAAAAAATCTATAATACAATGGCAAATAGGCAGTAGATGTGAATGAAAGAAAGCTCTTGGAAGTCCAAGCTAGTTTTTTTTTTCTTGTTGCCTCAGAGACTGTTGCCAAATGTACTTTTCATAGCCTCTAGTAGCACCGCTCATCTGTGCCTTATTAATACAATACCTTCTCATTCACCAGTAGGCAATAAATCCCTGGTGTCCAATCCATGTTTTTCATTTGTTATTCATCAGTTTTTATGTGTTTGTGTTTATACAGAACATTTTTGTGCTGTTGGTTCTGCCTTTTTGGCTTGTTGATCTCAGTTTCACTAGACCAGCATGTGACAGAAAAAGCCCCACTGAGTTGTAAACTCGATAAGAAAGTGCTGTGGATGCTTGTATGAAAGGAAGTGCTATCACTGTACGATGGGCTTATTTTGAGAAGTAAAGCCTTATTGGAACAGGTGATGTAAGAATTCAATGTGATTCCCTTGGACAGTTCCAGCTCACTGGAAGAATGTAGCATGTGATGGATGGATCCTTCTCTCCTCGCTCAACAGGCGGTTTGGCACAGAACTCCCTTAACTGCACAGTATCTTTTAGCCATCCAGCTATTTCTCCCTCCTCCTCCTGTTATGTGTTTGAAATAGCCTCTCACTATAGAAATAACATTGACATATCATAATAGCGGGTATGTAACACCCCCACCCTAACTAAGCCCCCCAGTCCTTGCCACAGTACACGCAGTTTCATTTTTAAAGATGGAACATGGAGGGTTCTTCCACATTGGGCTGCCATCAAGAGAAATAATCACAGAGTGAATAACACTTGAGGCTCCTGTGATGTAATGCTGGCGCGAGGCGAGTTGTAGTTGACACTAAGCTGGATGCAGGCATGGCTAAATTGGATATTGTTTTGGAAAGATATATCCTTTCTATTGGCTATTATTCATACTCCTAAAAGTCCCTATTCTTTAACTTAAAATGTTGAAGTCATTCAATTCAGTGGATTTACTGGGAGCTTGTAAAACATTTAGAACAAGCACATGACAATTTAATGTTTTTTATCTCTTTTAACATCCTGCCGAGTCACATCTTAGAGAACAACATGGCTGTGATGTTGGGACTTTGCTGTGCTGTGTCCAAAGTCTTATGAGTGCGCTGTAAATGTTTTCACAAGAATCTTTAGAAATCCACAAAAATTAAAACACAAATTAAATGAAAATGTGACCCGTGGACTTTTTCAGACTACGCCAGCTTGTACGCAGATAAATAGGTTGAAAAAAAAGTTTAAATATGGTCTGGTATGGTTTGTATCAAAACTTAGTAGACAGGTGCAGATAAATGTGTATTATGCATTATAGTGAAATTTAGATCACTACTTTGTGGACTGTACACTTCGGTTTTAATAAAACAATTACAGCTCACTCTAACATGTTAATGTGTTTTTGTTTGACACATTTATCGCGGTATAGAGCCACAACAACAGGTTCACTTTGGAAACAGAGGGCACCCTGTGTTCCTGCCAGAGCACAGAGCTTAGATAAACACACACTCTTCCTGCTGTTGGTGATATCTATGTTTCAGAGCACCTGGTTGGTCAAGAACAATTAAAGGCCAATAATGTGTTTGACGAAGTCACAGAAGCGGCGGTTAAACCTGACGGACTGCAGTTCATTTTCACTTTTTTTCACTTTTTTTATTAGGTGTGAAATATCCAGGCCCGTCACCGACTCTCGAAGGCTCGGTCCAAAACCTGGAGCTGAAGTTCTGCAGCCGTGCGACGGTGAAATGCGCCTCAGGAACTGTGGGAGCTGTAAAAGTGTGCGCCAGGACCCCAGGTGTGTGCAGCTGTGCCCTGTTAAAACTTTACTGCCTGTGTAGGAGGGAAAGAGTGAGACAGACTAGACTCTTCTTTTACTTTCTTTAACTTATACTTTTACACACTCCACTCTGTCTTTCTCTCTCTCGCTTTCTTCTGCTCAACCTTTATCTTGATTTCTTTCCAACTACATGATTCAGTTGCTGTTTTCTCCCAGGACGCTGTCATTGGGCTTTGGCCATGTCTTTGATGGCAAGGATGTTATTGGAACTTGTGTCATAGCACTCAAGTTCACAAGGTCAAACTTCACATATGATGGCGGGCAGATTACAAGATCTATTGCAGCTGTCAATATAGAAACAAAGAAAAAAGCATGCTCAATTAATTTCTTATTTCAATATTAACATCTATTCAGGATAACATATTGCAGACTTGATGAGTTAGAACAGAGTAACTATATAGCCACTGCCACAGGGACAGTTAACTTTTGCTCATTTACAGTAGATTGTTCTGTTGAGCATGTCAAAAAAAATGTATAAATGAAATGAAATGTGACTACAAAGGTTAGTAGTATTGTCAACTTGCAAAAATTGTAAATGTTCATCATATTCCTGTTGGTCAGTTTTACCATGTGATGTTTGTTCTTTTTGTCAGAACATTTTGTCTGACATGTTTTGTTGTGATTTTTATATATTTTTTTATTTAACTCTCTTCTTCATAGATGATATGGCATCTTTGTTGTCTTTCTGTGAAGACCCAAAAAGCTAATGGACAGCATACTTTAATTGATGGCAATTTCTGCACTTTTGTAAACATAGTTGCTTTATGATTAAGTGTTTTGGCTCAAAGTGACCTCAATATTTTGCCTGCTCTTCGTATTATTTTCTTTGGCAACTATGGCAACTTATTCAGTTTTACAGTCAGAAAAGGCTAAGCTGATAATCACTGTGACTGAACCAAAATTTCTTCATTTTAACTTTACTTGAGTCACAACGTGATTAAAATACAAAGGATGTTTTTTCATTAATGAAACGTTAAAGACAAGCGCTTTCTTTTCCATTTGAGATATCATCTTGGTCACTTTTTGAAGGAAGACCTTGTCATTTGTAAATGTGAATAATTTTGATCAGATTTTGTTAACTAGATGTTATAACTCTTTTCTTTCAGGTTCAGGAGAGGGAGTGAAGGAGAAGCTGGTTCCTCTGATTCAAGGCCCATCTGACACCAAAGAACTCCATATGAGTCGCTGGCTCAATGAGATTCGCAAGCCTGAATCTTTGCTGGCCCCAGACCTGCTGGCATTTTCTGTTCAGGTCCCTCAGCAAGAAGACGATTGCAGGAACTCAGGTAAAAAGTGTTGTTGTTTATTTAAATTAACACATTATCTACCCTCCTCTATTTCCATCACCTCTGTGAAAGCACATTGCCCTGTACAGTATTTTTGGAATCAGAGTCCTCCACTCTTTCGTTTTTTTGGGGGTTTTTTTAAGCTAATTTTGTGGTTGTGGTTGTTGTGTTTTGATTTTTTGGACACACTGATGGTAAATATTCCATCTCGGCTATTGGTCTGCATTTGTTCAGATTGTCATATTTACTTCCTCCCTTACTGCCGTACAGTTACTTGTTAAGTAAAGCCGATAAGTGTTTTCTACTTCACTGTCCTTAACATCAGGGTTGGCAACTTGTATTTTCTGTACAGGCAGCATGAGCTCTCTAAACAGCAGTTAGCTTCTGTCAACGCTGGGCTGAGCTGGCTAACAACAGCCAGCCACTTGAGGATTGCTGTTGACGGCTGCTCTGATGTCAGGTTGCAGTTTTTGATTGCGTCCCTAGACCACAGATTATATTTCTTGTGTCAGCATGAGAGTGTGTGAGTGTATGAATGTGTGTTTAGAGGGAGGGTATGGCATTATACAGTAGTCCTTCCAAAGGACTTCAAATACAATTCAGATTCCAAACTTTAAAGTTCTGTAGCAGTTGATTTCTTTGTATATTGAATGATACGGTGGCCCAGAAGTGTTACAACAAAACAAAAGCCACAACACAACACAATAAGCCACAACACAACCAAATTAACCACAACACTACAAAATTAACCGCAACACAACACAACGGCTGCAACGGAAGTTGTTTCTTTTTTAACCCGGAAGTTGTACTGTGAAGTGCGCAACCACACGAAGTGGGCAGAAACTGGAGATTGTTTGAAACAACTCAAAAGTAAGTAACATACTGATGGCAAATAGTGTCCATTAATCTCTGTATGCGCTTTTAAAGCGGTTGTTAACTTTGATTAACAAATAAAGAGTCATTGCTTGTTTGACTTGTTAATGCGGACACTTCCGCTGCAAAGAACTTCCGTTGTAGCCGTTGTGTTGTGTTGCGGCTTATTTTGTAGTGTTGCGGCTAATTGTGTCATCAGTAACCTCTCACACCTGCAACTAGTTCTTTGGGCAACCATACTTTTGTCCTACGAAAGACTGTTACCTCTTGAAGTAGATATACTTGACAATCTTTCCGATTTCATGATCTTCAGTTGCTCCCACATCTTTAAAAGCCCAGAGAAGGTGATTCTTTCAAGGTCTGAAAGTACATTCCATGCTGTTCCCTGCAACCCCCTCCCATCCCACAGCAGATCTGGGAAGTCTGGGGTGACAATGTAAAACAATACACCTCCAGTATTTGTTTTCAGTGTTGTCTTCAGAGTCACAACAGTACATCACTTTTAATATGGGGCTACAGAGATTCATTGTGTGGCCTTGACTTACGTAAACCCCCTACCCAGGCCCTGAATCATATCAGGGCCCTGAGCCTTAAACATGTCAGAAGTGAGATGTACATAGAGTTGGCCTCAGGTGGTTTCAGACTGTGAGGAGAAGATACAGCTGCAGCTAAGGGTGTAGTGAGGCAAGAGGATAAGTACAATTTAAAGACAGCAGATTTGGGAGGTCATCCCTAACCAGGCATTCCTTTACTGTTTGATTATTACCTATTCAATTAGTATCCAATTTCTAGTGTACTGAGTGCCAAGACGCTGCCATAAATTAAAACTGCAAGGGAAGCAAAACTTAGATTTCATAGGTAACTCATGGTTTGATTAATGTGGGGACAGTCAGTGAATAAATACCCTGAAAATTGCACCGACATAAAAGTAGATTTTAAACGCAATGTTGTATTTCTGACAGGGGATTGTTCTACCGTTTATAGCCTCACAGACATAGATAGATAATTTTAGGAACTCTGATAAATTCTATTTAGTCCACGGCCTCAGACTATTACTTTGATTTAGAGAGCATATTATTTCAACAAAGCAATGGCTCATAAAGACAGTACATATTTTTAAATATTAAAACCTGATCTGAACACAAACCAGAAGACCAAAAGGAAGTGAAAAGAGCGGGAGAGAGAAAGAAGATGAAGGTGAAAAGGAGGTGGGGGGCTGACTCCCAGAAGCACTGGATATATCTCCAGCAGATGTGGAGCAGTGTAGGCCTGCACTGCCTCATCACTGCCTCTCTTCTTTTTTCTTGTCTTCTGTGTTTAATGTTCTTTGTTTCTTGCTTCCTTTATTTTCACTGTCTGCATGTCTCTGTTGTCTCTTAACATGTCTGGCTTCTTCCCACATATACAATACTTTCTGTCTTTCCTTTTTCCCATGTTTATGCATCTGCCTATTTTCTTTGTTTCTCTGAAATCCTATAAAATATTAATTTCTCATTTGTTCATTTTTATTTATTTCATTTCACTAAGAACTGTAGGACTCTCTCACCCATGCATGTCCGCACACATACGCATAACATCAGCATTTGTGCCAGAAATCTTTCTTTTATCTGTAATATACCTGTCAATATAGTCAAAGCTGGAGACAGCAGCCATGCTTGACATTAACAATTTCACCAGACTGGAACATTTCTCCCTCTTTCTGTGTATGTGTGTTGTGTCAAACATGCTTCTGAAGGAAAATCTTCTAGAGTTAGTGTGTGTGTGTGCAGGCATTTTTGGGTGTCTACTTATAGGTCTGTGTTTTGTATAGCGGTCAGGCTTACATCAAAGCCTTCGGTCAGTCCACATGTCCCATGTCCCTGCTGTCATCCGGAGGGTGACTGGGAGCCTGTTAGAGCTGTGCTAATGGAATGATGGATGCAACGCCTCATTCAGCCAGAGATGAAAGGTGGCGTAGCACCACTCTAAATGGGCTGCACCCTTTGCTCCCATAGGGCCGCCTCAGAGGCTCAACATTTTGTGATCATGACATTTCGGAATTGTTGGAACATTTGGCCTTGGCATCTAACACATTTTATTCATCCCATGTGGTTCTGTTGATTCCATTTTGCAAATTCTTCAAGTGTGATCATTATACATCGAGCACAGCACTGGGGTAGGAGAGTAAGAGAAACACTAGCTCTTACACCATACCCACACTGAAAACATTACAATATAATGATCTACAATCAGCTTTTTTAAAATTCTATTATACATCTGATTAGTTGCTTCTGGTTTCTGTATGAACACAACACAAGGCATAGCAGTGCTGTGAAGTCCGTCTGCTCAAGTCTCAAAGCATAATATTTATTTAAAGAAGGGGGAGATTTTTGGTAATCGACATCAAGCTGCTAGCGTGTAGTCAGTAAGTGTTTGAGTATATATACTCTCAAGACATGGTGCTTTCACATACATTTACCTTAATTTGTGTTTTCATGTTTCTGTGTATTTGATTGACTGCAGTTGATTATAAGCTGAGAGAAGTCTAGCTTTTAGTGTTTCCCCTCTGGTCATGTATGTGTGATCTCTGTGTTGCCTCATTTCTTAGAAGTTGTGACAGGCTCTGGAAATCACCAGCACTTTCCTTATGGATCCTTTAATTCATCCCAGAAGCCATTTCCTCCTTTCCTTACATTTTTTTAGATTTTTTTTGGAGCTTAGGAAGGCCCTTATCTCTGAGGTCGCTTTTGATAGAATATATTTGGTCTAATTGACAGATTCTGTACTAACATTTCTAGAGCATGTGTGTCTGGACATCTTTCTACTATACAGTTGTCTGCATGAAATATTTTCGAACAATCCTCAAAGCACATTGGGGGAATGTTCATTTTCACTGTGCCGAAGTAATGATAGTTTAAACAACGGAATTCGTAGTCCGGCATTTGAATTGCAACTTTGACACATGTTTTAATCTTGTCTGTATCTCTCTGGCTCATTTTAATTCTTTCATGCAAGTTAGTTCAACGAGATGAGTAGCTTTCAAATACGGCCAGTGACATCTGTTTTCTGTCTAATTGTTTACCAGTAAATTAAAACAAAATTCCAATTTACTTAGAAAACGAAGCGAGTGGGTTGGATGGCTAGGGGTGGCGGTTGGAGGGAGTCCCTGTACACTTGTAGAACTCATGCAGATCCAGACTAATGTGTTTTCATTTAACAAAGTTGAGGTTGGAACATTCTAATAAATTAAACACAATTAAAGGCGTGGGTTTTAACGCAGAAGAACTAAGCAGCTCTGCTTTGAAATGTCGTCTTTTATAGATCCAAAGGGGTAGAGTAATTTCATATCTTGCCATTAACCCTTTGCATTACAAAGTGACGGTCCCACATGATTTCTCCTAATTGAGCAGTCTGTCCAGATGGATTCAACAATGATAGGGTTTTTTTGGCAGAGGCAGTTTCTTTTTCATTTTTTCTCCTTTTAAAAGAACCAAACATGATTCATGTGTGCTCCGTTATGACGCATGAATAATGAGAACTCAATGCCAATATTAAATAACGTTAAAAAACAAAGTGAGCGATGAAGCAAAGAAATGGAAGCAAGCAGGGCAGCTGGAGGAGGAGTCAGTCAGAGTTGTGGAGCTTAGGGGGTGAGGTAGTTGCTTTTAAGTCACAGCAGGCAGCAATTCAGGTTGGCAGCCAGGATCAGAAGGGCACAGGTTTGTCTTCCACATGGGCCCAGCTGAGAGCCAGGGACATGTCATCATTCACTAGCACACACTGGGCCTGGTGCCTCTGGTATTAGATCTATAAATTATTTGTGAATTTAATCAGAGTAGAGCAGTGCCTTAAGGATCACTAGGACCAGAAATCCTTGGCCATGTCCTGCATAATGACCTGCCGGGCTACACTGAGTGTAAATTATCAGTGGAACTCAAGAGACAGCTTGATCATTTTGATCCCTGGACAGTGGCTGGCTGGCTGGCTGACTATCCTCCTTGGCTTGGTCTTGGGGCTGTCATTGCTGATGGATGGGAAAGACTAAGGGGGCCTTGGATGGGGCCAGCGTGCAGGAGTAGAGGGCTAGAGGGCGTGTGAGGAGCTGGGGTTTATGTCGAACCTCGGGGCATGCGGCAGCCTGCAGGTGT